TTACGAACAACTTGAATGTGCACCAATGACTAGTCGATGTTGTTCTAGGCGTAATATAATCGTATATCGTCGTCGTAATGTAATGTAATGATCATGTTCAATAATAATCCAAAAATGATCATACTATTTGCTAGGCATTATGATTTTCGTACAAAATATCGTTTTTTCGTGCACAAACCCTGTTCGCGTTTTAACTCTCTTGCTACGGCTAGACCACATCTCCGATGGCAATTCTCAAATATTTCAGAAAACAACCAATAAGCGTGTGAACGGAAACCACGCCCATTCGATACGGATACAACAAAGGAGAAACGTGTGCAGTGGAAATAGAACGAAAGAAGGAGAGTGGTGCAAGGGTTACGGTAGTGGAAGCGCTGCATACACACTCGTACATAGCGAGTGAGAGAGAGAGAGAGAGATTGTACGTGCATTGGATTGATGAGGGGTTTGGTCGGTTTTAAGGCGGATTGAGTGTGTGAATGTTATTGGTCGTTGAATAGTAGTGAGGCGAATGTTATTGGTATAGAGTTGTTAAGTTAAGTAAGGGTTGTTTTATTGAATAGTGATTTGAAAGGACGTGATTTAATATTCGATTTTATTGGATCATCGCATTGGAGAAGAACAAGAAGTGTGTATACGACTGCGATTCACTGTTTAATTGTATTTGCAACAACAACATTAACATCGTCATCAACTATCAGATACTTAAATACCAGCTATCACATATCCATAATAATAATATCGTCGTCATCATTTGTGACTAATCACGATGAACGCATCATCGCTTTCGTCAATGGGTTTCGAATTCACGGCGTCCGGTTCACGATCGTTTCAAGAGCCTGCCATCCAGGCTGACGATCACTTACAGCGATTAGCGCAAATGACCCAAGGTGTTGGCCATACGGCCATCTCGAAGTCCGACTCCACTGACGGAAGTGACCCGAACTCGAACGGTCAGCCCGACCCCACACTGTATCAGTCAGCCGCTGCAGCAGCTTATGTGCACCAGTACGGGAACTGGCCGAATGCGTACTATCAACAGTTCGGGCAGCCGATGAATCCTGCTGCGGCTGCATTCTCTGCATGGCCACCACAGTGCTATGCTCCGCCACATTGGCCAAATTACGGTTAGCGGAATGATACTCTTATTATTATTGTTATTATTATTATTATTATTATGGTTATTATCATTGACATTATTACTATTGTTGCTAGTATGATGATCATTATGAGTACTATTATCATCAATTTTATTAGTATTACTATAATGTCTTCTATCTATTACCTTCGACCATATTATATCTTCATCTCATTGCAATGATCATTTTTGGTTTTTATTGGCCACTAAAATTTATTTCACTTCATTTTATATCGTCATTATCAGCACCCTCGCACAGCAAAACATAACCATCAAATACTCCATAATATGACAAATTATTAGCATATGATACTCACTCATTGATGCAACAATA